TGATCCTAAATACTCCAGGTTGGGGTTGAGTACCCTTGGACGGTAAATGATCCAGTATACTCCCGGTTGGGGTTGAGTACCCTTGGGCAGTAAATGATCCAGAATACTCCAGGTTGGGGTTGAGAACCCTTGGACGGTAAATGATCCTAAAATATTGATTTTAATATGAAAATTATTTATAAATTTATAAATATTGGATTCTTATCAGTACTCTACACAGCCGGATGCATATTTTCCCACATTTCCGGATTCTTCATTTTACCATGAAGACACAGCGGGGGTTTGGAACACTGGCGGGTCCAATCATGACAGCGGGGGTCCGGTCCGAGCACCCAACCTATCGTTGAACAAAGACGAAGACGCAAACCGTGACATTATTTATCATTATATGCAGGGCCGACCCAGAGGGAGTTTAGGGTGTGCGACCGCACAGGGCCCAAAAAAAATTGAGGGCCCAAAATAAATTTTTTAGTAGTAGTACTACTACTCTACTAATGTAATAATGTATGATGAATTGATTAAATAATGAAATTTAAAAATTTGGTTGTTATTTAGAATTAAATGTAATTAGTTGATGAGTTAATTAGGCTATTTATATTTAATAAATTTATAATTGCTGCAGCTATGTTTTAAGAACATCTGTTTGTCGATCAATATTTATGTCAGAAAGGAAGACCCAAATTTTGATATTGCACAGGGTCTCCATTTTCTTAGGACCGGCCCTGATTATATGTAGTATTAAAGTTATTATTGTATGCATATATTTATTACTCCCTCCGTCCCATTTAAATGTTCCCACACGGTTCACGACGTTTGATTGACCATAAAATTAACTGATCCCTGTAAATAGCGCATTTTAAATGACCATCCTAATTCTTATCAGTACTCCACACAGGCGGATGATTATGTTGAGTCATTTCTGAATTCGTCGTTTTATTATGGAGACACAACGGGGAATTGGAACACTGGCGGCGGGGACGGAGCAGGCCCGAGCATGCAACGTTAGATGTAGTATTAAATTTAATATCGTATGTACTGTCTATTCATTAATAAATCACTGTCTATTCGTTGTTTTGTTCACTTCCATTAAAATTACAAAAATTGCAGTTAAATCCCTTTCAAATTTGTATATCATTTTACGAATGGATTAAATCATAATTGCATTTAAAATTACACGATTGGGATTAAAAAAAAAAATTCACAACACAAATGGATTAGAAAACAATATAAAGCAATCAAATGTTTTGTTACTAAAAAAAATGCATTATTTATAAAAAATATGCAGGAATTTAAAAACACTTTTACATTTGGAATTGATAGAATTTAAAACTTTAGTTTTAAAAACTTTTTTTTGAACCGAGTAGGGGATTTGGCCAAAAAGTTAAATATAAAAACTTTAGTTATTTGTTTTGAATCAAAAAGTTAAGAATTCGGTCCATCAAAAAAATTAAATATAAACTCCTTGTCGGAATTGGCTAATCCGACAGAAGGGGATTTGTTATTTTTCAAAAAACCTAAGCCTAGAAAAATTCCCGCATTTTGGCACTCCCATCCAACTTTTCCCGTTATTTGGTAAAACACCCACTCCTAAACATTCTTTGGACCTTAACCATAGTTGAATTTCTAATTCAAATTGTACGTCTATACAGTTTACACCATTGTTCTAAAAATCGGCCTAGGCGGACCGATTAATCGGCCTAGGCGGCCTAGGCGGCCCTAACCGTAGAGTCCTAGTCGATCTAGTCGGCCAAAAAATTGGCCTAGTCGGCCGAAAAATCGGCCTAGTCGGCTGCCTAGGCGCTAGGCGCCCCTCTACCGCCCGACTAACGTCTAACGACTTTTAGAACAATGGTTTACACAATACGTTTAAATAACGTTATCCCATATTGATACTCAATATAGCTTTGCCTATTTGGAGCATATAACTCCGATCATTATATGCCTTATTTACACATAAGGCATATACACATATACAGATATACTCAATTCATATCTCTGTATGAATTGTATTTAGCTATAAGTATTTGCATTACAATAACCTTTTCACCATCCTGCTCCTTGTTTAATGATCACAATTTTAGGATCTAATACTTAGATTGGTTCTCGTCTACCATATAACCCAATTGAGTAATATCGCCGTTGGCCGAAATAAAACTTACCATTACGAATTCAAGGGATTTAAAATAGACGAGACATAAATAGATGACATTCGTATTCTGTGATTTCACTCCTAAACTCTATTTCATGATAAGTAAATACCTATCATAGACATGGCTAGATATTGGTCCAATGATATGTATCTAAATATTACCATATTTAGATAAGCTCTAAAATACTTTTAGAGCTTATCTTTTTGTAATACTCAACATATTATATAAGAGTTAAATAAGTACCGTATTCACAGAGTTATTAACAATTATATATTGGTTTAAGATATAATGTATATATATTAACATTAGTATGTATTATGGATGTTTTTACTTGGACGGTAATTTGTCCCAGACCAGACCAGTCCAGACCAGACCAGACCAGTTCAGACCAGACCAGACCAGACCAGACTTGGATAGTTATAAATATACAAAGAAACCAGACCTTACCAGACCAGACCAGTTCAGACCAGACCAGACCAGATCAGACCAGACCAGCAAATTACAGTCCAAGTAATAACATCCTATGTTTAATATTACTATAGTCCACTAATATCATAGCAATATAAGGACATTATTATTTGATAATGCCCTTATAGAACGTTACCTTTTGTGATGATTTATTATACTAACTATGTATAATTGACTACACTTGATTATATCTCATTTTACTTAAGTAATATACCGTTAAAGATTTACATATACATATATTTGATATACATATGCTCGTCGAGATTGAGATTGTTATATTTATCTAGCTCATAGGCAATAGATAAGTTGGTGCCTAATCATAGGCAATCATCCCTTTTCCGTATACGCCGGTTATCAACACCCAAGAGATACTATATGTTGGAACACTATGAGATATCATACCGGCGCTTGGAAATTAGCGTAAATCGTATAACAAAATTAATGCATTCGCATTAATAGAGTCCCGTCAGCCGCAGGCGGTCCAGAGGGCGGCCGCCTGCCGTTCCTGTCTGGCCGCCTGCCGTCCACTCGCACCGGCCGGTGGTTGGCTTTGTCCCGTTGTGTCGCAGGCGGCCACTGAGGGCGGCCGCCCTTCGTCCTCCGTCGGCCGCCTTCTGTCTTTTAGCGGCTCGGGTCAATTCTAAATGTTGACTTTTTAATTTACCGTAGGCGGCCAACCAGGCGGCCATTTTGGGCGCCTATTTGGGCGCCCTCCGCCAAATTTGTCTGGTAATTCCTGCGGTTCCTGTTCTCCAAGATTGTCTTCTGGGTCACCTTGATAAAATGCTTACTTCTTCCGGTATGACTTCATTTGTTACTCAAATTGACTCATTTTGTGCTCAATTGACCCGAAATTCTGGCAAACATATGATGAATGTGGTTTTCACCTGATTTCATGAAACTTGAACCAAAATATCTAAAACATGCCTTTTCTTTCTATTTTTAATCAAAAATCGCTTAAATTTGATTAGAAAAATAAGTACAAAAATGGACTTATCATATATATTTTGACAAGATGTGGTACTATGAAGGCCAACTAAGTTTTATAATATAAGTTAACTCAGAACTTCCATTAATTTACACCGAGATACTATTAGACTATACACTATGAACGCATTAAGTAATCTTATTTCAATAAGATTACCTAGATTATACAATTAATGATACGTACTCTGATGATAGCTTGACTTCACTCGAGCATCGTGTTTCTCAAGCCAATTCATTCCTAGCATAAGTTCTTACGAAGTATTCGAATTTATGATCATAAATTACGTAAATCTTATTAAGGGTACTAATAGGACAACTATTAGTACCCTTATTATAGTCCACTTGTAAATACCTATAGATAATGTCATTTAACGTATATCATATAACATGTTACATATCGTAAATGATATGTAACATGTAAATGATTATCATTTAAAATGAACGTTGTACATATATAAATTTTATTTGTTGTGTATATGCTAAATCATTTTGTATCACTTTAAACATCTTTGTGAATACTTATCGAAATGATCAGTTTTGTACATATCATCCGTATTCAACATATGCTCTGAAAGATATGTATATATGGTCTGTTAAATTTGTAAGTTTAAACGTCTAAGATTGACTAGCTGGTAGTAATTGTCTCCCTGTGGACATCCATTTCTACTTCTTCCCGATATTACTTAGCGAATTGAAACAAAGAGCACTTGTTGTGTGTTGATCCAAGAACTCATTTCCAAGTAATCGTAGGCCGAGAACAATATCTTGATACACAGGGAGACAATCTCTATTTTGCACGCTACTTAGGTGATCATCTTTAATAAATATCTTCAAAATACTTAATGTCTTGGAAGTATTTGATGTCAGTACAATATAATCATATTGCTTTGGGATAATTACAATCATTCCAACAAAATACGTTTACTCACAAAACTAAACGTATTACGATCCTGTTTATAATACGATCAAAGTTTTATAGCAAATTATATTATATGGAACAATATAATATGTATCTCGAAATAGGCTAAGCTCTTGGAAATAGAAAATTTGCTATATACATCCAGATGATAATTCTTGACTAATCCAAACATATTGTCAAGTGAAACTATCAAGTGTTCTTCCGGGACACCAATTTCAATGCGATTTTACACATTGTCCGCATAATCAAGCCTCGTGGTAAAGATGTGTCCCATACATTAGTTTCCTAATCTTTTGTCAGCATCTTTTGCTCCTATGATTTGCTGATATTTATTCTAACCGCGTATTAATGGGTACGCGGTATCATTTTAATCTCAGTTAAATCATCGAAATTTATATGGTACACCCGGCTGTACCTTCCTCTTGGTACAGCCAGGTAATTTTGTAATAAACTGCAACTTCTATCCTCTTTATTTCTTCTTTTTCCCTTTGTTCGCTTTTTCCCTTTGGTCGTCGTCTCGCAGCTTTCATCTTCTTCCGCGGATTGCTTCTTAGTAGCAATGCCATAGATTTTGTTCTTCGATCGGTTCTTCCGGTCCTTCTTCTGTTTATTTGTTATCGATCTTCCCGGTTTTCTTCTGCAGCTTTCTCCATTCGTAGTTTCGATTTTACTTCACTGATCGATTTAGGTAAGTAGTTTTCTTTGCCGTTTTACATTTATATGTTTTTTCCTTCTTCCGTTTCAAATTCTTTTTTGTTTCGTCGAAGTTATCTTTTCCTGTAATCATCTTTATTTTTACTCAACTTATTTTTTGGTTGTATTGTTATACGTTGTCGCTACTGTTATAACTATTATAAGTTGTTTCAGTTCAATTTTTTTCTGTTTTAGATTCTTATCGACCATATGGCTGATTTTGGAGGTACTTATTCTATGAACTAATTCATTACATTAGTTGATATGTTTTGAGTATTTAGTTGATCAGTTTTGAGTTTACATTTGTTTTGTTTGTTTTGTTTTTACTCTGTGCAGATTGTATTTCTCCCCGTGGAAGATTAATTGAGGATATAGATTCTGGAGGCGGAATTGTTGGCATTCAATCCAGTAATATACTTTCTAATTGCAACTCATACATTTTGTTCTTCTTTAATCAATCTGTTTATATTTTGAATTTTGTTTTGTGATGTTCTTGTAATGTTTTTCCATTCATCTAGATTTCTTGGATTCTGCTGTTAATTTCAGTGAAGACCAAAATCTTGTTTGTGCAACAGAATCTCTTTCTTTCGGACCAAGTATTGCTCATTTCTTACGTACATTGTTTCCCTTTCTTTTACTGAAATTTTATATCTTTAGTTTATTTTACCTTTATTAATTTTTTGCAGCTGAACGTTCATCTAGTTTTGAGACTGTACAAGTTTGTCATGATCCTGTTTCTGTTGAAACCATATTAGTGAAGGAAGCTGAATTTTCTGAGTTGCTTGGTACAACTGTATTTTCAGAGGAAGAAGCATTTCAATTGTATAATGATTATGCTTTTCGGATTGGTTTTGGAGTTAGGTACTCTACTTTGAGAAAGAGGGATGGTGGTTCTGGCTTTAGGGGAAGGGAGTTCTGCTGCACTAAACAAGGCTTAAAAAAAAAATAAAGGCGTTGATGGGAAGCAATTCACAAAAGTTGACATTCGTACTAATTGTAAGGCACGAATTTATTTTGAGATAAATTCGTGCCTTACATTCGTACTAATTGTAAGGCACGAATTTGTTCCTCTATGTTTTTGTTGTAGTTTTTACTTTTTTGTAATCATACATTCCTCTGATCTAATCTTCTTTTGAGTAATTGTTTGTGCTTCAATGAGTACCACGTGTTAACAAAATGAGTATAGAAGTAAATATAATTTTTTAGTTAATGCATTTTGAATGCAAGACTCACTAAATTATGTGTTTACTATTTCAAATTAAATATAATTTTTATAAGAAAATTTGTATAACGTAATTTCATACTTAATGTTCTAAAATTCAATTGATCAGTCTTCAAATTGTGTATACTAAGTAATTAAATGAGCATTTACGCTACTAATAATGAGTATTAATATAAACTTCATAAATACAGATGTCAGCAATCAATATTACAATCATCATGAATGTGTATAATTACTATTTCGCAATGAACACAAATATATACATATTTTTCCCAAAAAAACTTTAAATTATCTATTTCATTTCGTAGTGAAGACTCATACCATTATAAATACATTACGAATAATTGGAAAAAACACCCCCGCACTGTTTATTTAATGAATTAATACATTGTCTTACTTTCACACTCAAAGAATATAAATTTAAAAGCTCACTCCTTACAATTTTGTATAAGTAATAAATGAATTGAGAATAGTACTTACTAGTAATTATCATTAATACCTTAAAATGTGTATAAGTAAGCAAGGAAATGAGCATAGAACTTACTAATAATGATCAATAATATGAACTTCCCATAAGCATATGTCCTTATTTAATATTACTAACATGACTACTGTCATCCAAGCTTAATAGTAATATCATATGTCCCAAATACTAATATTGTTTAGCATGAATTAAAAAACAACAATATGTTCATCAACGCCCACAATCATCAATAGCATTACAAATCTTCTAGATATACACATTGTGTTTCTTCACTTGTTCCATGATGTTCTTCTTGATCTCATTCTTATCAGATGTTACTATTGCATGCAAGTACTTAATCCGTAGCATCTCAATTGGTTTTTCCTGTACAAACATTATAATTTAGATATTCAAGTTTTCACATAATTATTGTGTTTGAAAACTATATTAAACAACTTTGGACTTACACTTTGTTTATCTAATCCACACTCCCATGCTGTGTCACCATAAAATGTCTCCATGTGCCTCATCAAATAAACTCCCTCATTGGTTTTGTTTTTCTTGTTTCTCCAATGCATTTTAACCACTTCTTCCTTCAGCTTCACAACCTTATCTGCCTTTGGGTGTTTTTGATCTCGAAGAAATTTCACAAATCCACTTCTCTGTAGTTAAAAATTTCAAAAACAGAATTATACATATTCTTATGTTCATGCACATATTGTCTATGTAGTTGCTCAATTATCAAGTGCACATTACTCATATACTAAATCATCACATTATTTATCCATATGTGATAAAATAAAAAGAAATATATAAAACATTTACCAGGTATGACATTTGAAACAAGTACTTGACTGCAGGAGCTATATCTCCGTCGCTACTATCAATGATGTAGAACTTCATGCTCTTCAAGTCAAAGCACATCATATAGTAGCACCCATTGTATTCATCTCGGAATATGAATAGGTCTGTTGACCTCAACTTATTTCCATCTGCACAGGGAAATTCTTTGCCAATTTCTGCCGCAAACCTTTTGTTCCTTGTTTGTGGAGCGGTGAGATGATTTTGATCTAGCACATGCTGTCATTAAATATTATAATATATTAGTTTCATTTTAGTAATACTAAGTAAATGAATATGTACTTCTTACACATGGTCTTGTTGAGAAAATCATTCTGCTTTTAGCTTCAGGGCTTTTGAACTTTTCATTATGATTAAGCAACATTGCCCATATATCTATAATTCCAGCATCAACTTTTGTGTTGCTCTTCATTGTTTCCATCTGAGCTTTTGAAAGAGTGAAGTTGTAATGCTTGAACACCACAACACTGTTTGAAAAGAATTATTATATCAAAATGAGTAACCTTCAAATATTAAATGTGCATTATATTAAACGAAATGATTAAGAAAAACTTAGCGACTTACTTCTTGTCACAATGATCATTGAACACAAAACCTGCAAGTAGTCTTTCCTCACTGCCAAGTGTTGTCCTTGCATCTATACTTCTGTTCATGAATGGGGACTTCACAGCAGGTGCTGGGGCTGTTTCTCTTTTTTCTCTTTCCACTTTGTTCTCTTTTGGTTCAATGTGATATTGTTCAACTTGCTTACCCTTTCTAAACCTTCTGTCTCTTTCTTCTTCACATTCTTCCTTTTCAGATTCCTCTTCATCCTCATTAACATCCTCAGCATTGTCATTATCCTTATTCATTTGCTCACTTGGACCATCCTCTGCATGCTCAATTTCATTGCCATGTTGCTCAATTATGTCATGATGATGCTCATCATCATCCCCATATGTATTCGCCCCATCATTTGACTCCTGTGAAAGCAACTTGAAGCTTGGCTTTTCATACTGAGTAAAAGTTGGCCTCTCAACTCTTTTCTTCTGAGCCATTTCAATAGCTTCAACTGCTTTGAGCACTTCTTCAGTCCAGAATCCATCATCTGGAGTCAGTGACACTTCGGTTTCATTTTCTTTTTCTTTCTCCTTTTCTGATGAATATGTGTTGAAAAGCCCATGGACTTTTCCCATTAAAATCTTCATTGTCTCATCATCAGGTAACACCTTTGCAGCCTGTTGAAATTTTTCATCAAAATTGGCCATGCTTTCTGCCAAATTCTTCGCTGCTGCAGCAAACTCCTTCATAATATCCTGCAGTTATTTAATGATTAATTTAGAACAGTAATTGAGCATTCTTTATGTTATTATTGAGTTTATACTAAAATAATTGAATGAAGCATATATGTTTATTAGTTTAATTTATTCAGTCTTTAGAATTTTTTCCCATATTTTTAACACATTTATTATCTTTTTTTTATTTAACTTCTTAAATGCACTCATTACTTTGTACTAAATACTCATATCTAGATATCATACTTATCATTTATATATTTACCCAATTGTTTCTGTTAAAATTACATAATACTGTCCTTACCTTCTTTGGCTCCTGATTATTGTTTCCCTCAATCTGGATTTCAGCTTCTTCTTCATTTGTGATCAGTTTTGGAACTATCAATTCCCCTTTGTTAGGTTCATCTATATATCCGTATCCAAAACCTCCAGTTTCAATTTCTTCCTTCTGTCGTTTGTTCAGCTTTTGTGTTGTCCAGCCAATAATAGATGGCAATGCTCTGTCCACTTTTCTGCCTTTGAACACAATGTTGTCTACATAGAACACCTACATATTTTATGAGATTTTAGAATTGTGTAGTGTATATGAGGATATGAGTAATATTGTGGTAAAAATGAGAAATAACATTAAGATTTTGTAACTTACAATCAGAAATAATAAAGGCCCTGGGAACTGTCTTTCTCTATTTTTGCTCCAATAGTCCTTTGCTTCAATAGTTCTTTTTAAACCATACTCCACCTGCTTTGTTTTCTTCTATAACCTTCTTCACTTGAGCAGTCTTCACAACTCCATTTTCAGTCTGAAATTGTGATCTCCAATTAGCCACCATGTGTGATGTATTCTCAGATTCAGTGTCAATCAAATTCTTCACATTAATCTTTCCTTTTGGAAACCCCAATGTCACGTGCACTACATCTTCATTAATCCTCAACCTTTCATTGTTTGGCAGAAGAAGAGACACACTTCTGCTGTCAAAATTGTCCAGCAACCAATATGCCAACTGCATTGGCAATTGCTTCACTTCAAGGTTCAGTAAGGGGCCAAATCCCATCTCAACCACCTCTTTCTTCTGTTCTGCACTTAGATTTTTCATTATTTCTGTTATACTACTCGGAGACATTCTTGTCCACAGCTTTGGGTATTTTGCATTCTCTTCCTTCTCTATCTCCTCTTCGTCCTCCTCAAATTCTTCCTCTTCTTCTGCTTTCTTCTTCTTTATCTTCTGCTTCTTCTCTTTTATTGACTCTGCTTCCCTTGTTATTTTCTTCTTTGCATGAACTTCTTTCTTCTTTTTCTGAACTTCATCATTTTTCTTTTCAGTTGCTTCTGAAGTTGTTGATCTTGTAGTTCTTCTTTTTGGACTAACTTCCTTGCTCTCTTTCTCTTTGCTTGAATTTCCTTGTTCTGTACTTTTCTTAATTGAGCCTGCATTATTTCTCTTTCTTTTCTTCTCATTATTTCTCTGTGCAGCTCCTTGTTGTACTTCTATAACAATCTGATTTTGTTCAATTTCCCTACCTTGTTGCTCATTTTCCCTTCCCTGTTGCTCAGATTCTTCTCCAACCTCCTCAGTTGTCTTACTGCTAGTATTCCTTGTTTCTTCAACATTATCATGTTGCTCAGTTTCAATACCTTGCTGCTCAGGTTCACTCCCTCGGTGCTCAGATTCTTCTACAACATTCTCAGTCATCTTACTGCCACCTTTGCTTGTTTCTTCAACATTCTGATGCTCCTCAGTTTCCCTCTCTTGGTGCTCAGTTTCTTTACCTTGGTGCTCAGTATCCCTCCCTTGTTTCTCAGATTGTTCTCCAACATGCTCAGTCTTCTTAGTGCTATCCTTCCTTACTTCTGCAACCCTTGTTTCTTCATCACTCATCTTTATCTCAGCTTCAATTTGTTTTATTAAGTCCATATTAGCCTTTTCCTTTTTTGGAATTGCTTTTGGTTTCATCTTCTTCTGCTTTTGTGGAACCTTGGAAGTCTTTTTTACTCTCTTTTTTGGATTTGAGCGCAGCACTGGGATCTCACTTATAGGTCGTGGATCTAAAATCCTGTATTATTAATTAAAATGAGTAATATATATCAAATCATGAGCACACAAAATATTATTTTGTAACTCTATTCAATCACAGGCATATTCTATACAAACTATATTTATATGTAAATGTAGTTTATGACAAGCATATTCTAAGACAAATTTTTCATAGCTTTTTAAGAAAACATAACACCATATGGTTATTTGAAAGTACTAATCAACTTATGAGTATTAGTTCACTTTTAAATTAACATTATGAATAACTAACATATTATCACCAGTTTTCAGTACTATAAAATTGTGACACACTGTTTTACAATTTGAGCATCTTACACTCACATTATGAGCACACACACAATGTCCATGCAAACGAATTACAGAACAAGTATATTGTATAACAAAAAATCTACTGCACTTCATGACACATTGTTCATGAAACAATGTCTATTTGTTCATTTGATACAGTGTTCAAATAATGAGTATGACTTCAATTTTAATGTCACATTATGATTAATTAGCATAAACACATATGAATCATAAGGATATTATTCAACAAGTACAGAAAATTTAAAGCACATACCACTCCATTCATAGATGAGTACTGTATACCACAGATTGAGTATTTTATCATCTTAGAAGTAACCTAATTACAGTATCACCATGTTCTAACTATTTAGTAATGCATATGACCTAAAGTAGAGTAAAATGAGCAATAACCTTCGTATTTTGAACAAAACCTCAAATGATATACTTAATAAACACATATCATGCATCAAATTCATAATCTGCTTCAGATTTGTCAAAATCATTTCATTTTTTCTATAATTTTCGAAACATGCAAGTATATTGATGAATCATTACTTGAATACAAATTTCAACACTATAATATTACATACCTCTCTGATCCTTCTGCAGTTTCATGCTTATCTGCGTTCTTCATCATCTCATACTCGGATAGTAGGTCCATCACTCGCTTCAATGCTCAAACAGAAACAACTTGCTGCTCAAACTCTTCCTCTGTTCTTCACTTGTCGTTGCTCTGCAACTCTACGAACAACTCCGCGAAGTTGACAATCGTCTGGAGGCTGTCATCGTTTTTCGAGCTTTAATACGGCGTGTATGAATGCTTGCGTCGTTTTCAAAGAAATTTCAGAAGGTAGTTCGAGAGAAGTTACTTTTCCGTTTTTTGATATGTTTAAATCGCAGGCTCTGTTTTTTGGTTATCGATATTACCCGGTAAAAATTGGGGCCAGGTGTGTTATGGGCTAGATCTGTTAATGGGCTTTTATGTTAATTGGACCACGGATGTACATACAACCGGGTGTAGCATATAGGGTCTCTTAAATCATACCTGATTTAAATTGTAGATCACATATGGCGTGATGCAATACACGTATTTCTAATCTGCTCTTGATTTATCAGCAAGATTTAAATAATCATCTACAAAAAAATGATTGCCTCCAAGGTTTTAAATAGCCGTAGCGGCAGCGGGTAGCGGTAGCGGTAGCGGTAGCGGTCATCGCGGTAGCGGCCTATAACGGCCTGTAGCCGACTGTAGCGATTGCAGCGGCGTGAAATATTTTCAATTGGGCAAAACATATATTTAATGAGTGTTGAATTTAATACAAACATTGTGAATATTTGTTTGAACACTTATAACATTAAGAGTTCATTTACACAACATGGACACATTTACACATCAACCCGCTCGTGACGTACTGCCGGAAATGTCAATAGCGGGCTGTAGCGGGCCGTAGCGGACTGTAGCGGGCTATAGCGGGCGGCGTAGCGGGTTTTTCCCGTGATTTGGAATTCACAGCGGAATAGCGGGCCGTAGCGGTAGCGGCCCCTACCGCAACCGCTATATAGCGGCCACTATAGCGGTAGCGGACCGCTATTTAAAACCTTGATTGCCTCTAAAACTCCTATGTAAAGTTCGAGGCCTTGTGCATAACTGATATTATTTGTTTCTAACACCGGAACGAAATTTCCCATCAAAAGATATTTCCGTTTCGAAATATCAGATTTTCAACCCTAAATAATATCTCATGCGCCACCAATCTTCAGCTTAATATGTCCAACGGTATGAGTGTATTGGTAACTTTAGAAAATCCATACTTTCAGATATGAGATATGATCAGTATGATTGTATCTGTGAGAATATTATGACAAACTAATTTGCAGCAAATATCAGTGTTTACTTAGACGTTTACTGGAATAATTTTGAGTATTGTGAATCAGGTTTGTCATTCACAATAGGCACTTTATATTCCCAGAAGATAGTTTATTTTTGAAAATCTCTAAGTTTATATACTTTTATAAATTTATAAGTTTATATTTGTACACTCATGGACATCTTATACTATAAGAAATATTAGCTTAGATAGAGAGATCCTATATTTTGACCTCAAAAGATATTGCTATGTTCTAAGTTTGAGCCTAAAAAGATCCCTACATTTCTTGGATAAATATAGTTTGATAAATACCTATGATGATTGCCTGGACATATGAGTTCAGGCCTAAGGTGATTACTTCTGTTAAAAGTGCTCTATGAA